GTCCGTCACGGAGCTCGACAAGATGCACGACTGAGGTCTGTCTCATTTCAGCACAGAAAGAGCGTGGGAAGAGAGGTGGTCGATCCGGGGTTAGAAAAAATGTGTGATCAACGGACCAATGAGGTGCGCTGAACGGAACCGGATCCAACCACAGCATTTCTTTCTCGAATCTAAGTGATGGTTTCTCAATTCCAAATGACGGTTTCGCAAATGAAAATTATAGTTTCTCAAAGATATCTTAAAATGGTATGTGAACGAAGAACCAAAAACGAGTGTTCGTTTACACATCGATTTCGTTACAATCTATATTTTTGATGCACCTATGACCAAAGCACGCCTAGATAAAAGACACAAACATGCAGTTCTGTCAACGACAAGCGTTTCATTACAACTAAGATAACGAATAAAAGGAAAATGAAAGGGATAGTCAATAAATCAACGAGGAGATAGTCATAGACCAATTTGGTAAAAGTGACGGATGAGATGTTCGAGTAAAACGGAATGTGTTCGTGTGTGCTTTACAATCAAATTCGCCACGGAGAAAATTCGCTATTTGTACATGATATAAATAAAATGGATCGTTCTCTGTGCAATAGCAGTATTCGATTTAATGGCACAGTATGCACGAATGCGATAGATGACATTCACATATCGAATCAACATCAATCGGGAGCAGACGTATTGGGTTTGGGAGACGGTTCACGTGATTAGACCAATGCGATGGTAAGTGGTCACGGAAGGATATGAATGGAACCAACGCAATCATAGTTGATACTCTTTATGGAATAAGATAACCTTCATAGTTGTGGTTCGGTTTAAACAAGCTGCCATAAATTGCGGCTGGCATACGCTCACGATGATGCATGACAGACTATCAGTCCGTGATAAGAGAGTTACCGAAAGACATGTTTAGTAATGACAGTAATCAGCTACTCTCATATCGGTTCCCAACTCCAACAGGATAGTGGGCGATACTAAATACAAATTACGTGCATATAACAATATCCCAATTTTCACACGAGCATCGATTGAAAGCAGTAGTCTCTTAATTATGATTCCAATGAGCCAAATCAATAATTATACGCGCAAATTATATTGATTTGATATGGGAACCTGAATCGGATTAGCATCCGTTGGAGAAACTACAGTTCACTTAACGCAATCGACACGGTCTAAATCCTTTGGCTCAGATTACCATACCAATTTTTGATTTCATCTTTGCACAATCTAATGATGCGAATTGGGAACTGTGAGCAAGCAGTTCCGAAAAATATCAGAAATTAGACTGAATGGTTGAGACCCAAGTGGATACGGAGAATTGGGGAGGATATTCTACCCAAGCGGTTGTTGATAGCTTCTTACCATCCTGTCCCCTTACACTCTTGCACTCTCGTCTCCAGATTCATCCAAATGTCAGGCCAATTATAGTTGTTTCAATAATACGTGGCCTAATTCAGGTACTATCCATTCAACTCTACCTCACCCCTCAACTAACCCATTAGTGCACGTGGCCTTGAGGACTCTGGCTGGTGATCGATAACATCAGGAATAGTAGTAGTAGTAGTATACTCAGTCGGTTGCAAATAAATAAGGTAGAGTAAAGAGACGAAAATGGAACTAATTTATTTGGGGAACGTCATCGTTTATCTGATCGTTATTGTCCGGTTTATGTTAAGTGGAGAAAAAACACGCGGGATTAGCTTTCATTTACCATGGTGACGAAGAATACGAAAACATTTATTAGCTCACGCCCATTTAAGCGACTGCTTACAACACAAGTGTAGGTCTATAAAGTGGATACTTATTATACTCCCGGTCACTGCGCTTATGAAAATTATGGCAGGAGGTGGACTTAGAGGAAGTAGTGGGTAAGTTGAACTGTATTTGTTAAAGTTGTTTAGGAATTAAAATCAAATCCCCTTCCAGAATATGGTAATCATTTATCGAACCTGAAATAAACCAAATTTTCCCCCAAATTCCTTTATCGCAGTCGTTAAAATTCGAGATACGTCGCCTAATAGGTGACAAAACGTGTTATATAAGGTTACACCGGAATCATTTTGCATAAATACCACGATAAAACTGAGAATTTCGACAGTTTAGAATACCGCAATAGATAAAAGTGCTAAATGAACTTCGTATTTATGTTATTAGAAAAGTTTTAAATAAAAGCATTTAGAATTTTTGTAGATTTTGCACAAATGAAGCTTGGTGCATAGTTCTACTATCAGTATCTGAAAATAGAACAATCAATTGCAATTTTCGTTTTATCTCAGTCAAATTTAGTTATCATCACAAGATTCAAATTTTTCCAAAATTGAAATAACTGATGGATCTTAATCTCGATTCACTTTCATTGAACCATAAAGCAATTGCGAACTCTTCGCACGCCTTATCTATTGCACATGAGATCTCCAGACAATACGCTGCAACACATCTTCTTATGCGAAACCTCCAGGGCACAGTTAGACACATTGTCAAATATTTTATCGCGTAGGATGCAGTTCTTCCCACTTTGTGAGCATTATTGCACAAACGTCTCCAACTCTTTTCACCCTATTGGTGATGCTGGTGCTACTGGTTTCCCCTATCCTCCAACAGGCACATTCATACACCTGTTAGTGTGATTGTTCAAGATGAAACGGGAGGCCTGAACGAGTTGCAGAACTCTGTGAGGCAAAATGGGGACATTTATGCCAATATTGCGAAAACGGACCAACCAAGTGAGTGTAGTGTTTGTTTTTGTCTGTTCACGAAGCCATTCTAGTTAGCATTAGTCACTCACGGAGTCCGTCACTGTACGATGCTGATTCCAGTTTGTCCGTCAGCCAATATGCTGTGGAGGCGCTAAAAAACTTGGCCAAAATGAGTGAACCACCGAAGAAAAAATCGTTTAGTTGTTTCAAGTCCGGCACGTGTATGAAAAATCGTGTCACCCCTTCGGAACAAGCGGCACTGAAAACCACGACGAAACAAATTGACCACGAGAACCCAGACAGTGCTTTTGCTGTGAGTCCAATTGGGGCCGATTTGAAAGCTACTGGTTCTTGTATAGACCGTAATTTCATTATTTTATTTTTGTCATTCGATTCCACAAATATAAGACGCCGTGAATAGTTTCTTGTTCTCAGTGTGGGCTGCACGCATCAGTATTTCGTTTAGTAATCACAATACCTACTCATCCAATTAGCCCGAAGTGTTCATATGCAAATAAAACCGATTTTGAGATCCTTGTGATAAGCCTGTTGTCATTTTTTACCTATTCTACAAAAGCCCCTTTTTCTCGAATTTTCTGACAGAATTCATTGTTAATTATTGTTGGCATTGTAATCGGGGTTGATGCAATGCAATGCAAAGGAGCAACTTATAGCCTCTGATGATAAAAAATTCTCCATCGCCCTCGCTAAAACCTAAACTAGAACGGTTTTGGCGGTTTTTCGAAAATGTCATCAAATGACCATTTACATATATATATGAGTAGAGCATTGAACATAGTTTGATCCTGTTTACGGTGGATTTTATTACCCTGTGAACAAAGCGATGCTACATCGGTCAATATGTTGAATGAGCTTAGGCTGGGCGGTTCTTAACCGTAAGAATGGAAAAATTAGAACTGAAATCTAGATGTGGCGAGGCTGCTAAAAGATTTCAAGAATTGTATGCATTACGTTCGCAAATGTAGTTTTTGTTAGTGTAGGGGAATAAACGAGTAAATCAACTGATCAGCACTGAAGCTGTTTGTGGTAACTGGGTATTTTAATAAAATAAGCGGAAAAGGATTTAAGAAGCAATTAGACGAAAATAGCTTTTAATCGTGCTATTTGATAATATATACAATGCGATTTTCTAAAGCAGACAAAATTACTGGAAGTTGTTTTGGAACAATAAAGTGATGGAGATCTCTCTGCACAACTCCTTACTCCTGCATGCAGGCACTTCAGTTCCCATGGTCACCTTCAACCCATATCCCGAGTAAACCAGAAGACCGGTTGAATCAGCAATTGATTCTATGATCGTATCAGTCTGGAAACTAAATTAGCCCAAATACTCTATGATGTTGCTTAATTTTGACATCGATTAACGTTTTATATTATGATGTACTGGTACTATAACCAATTAAATTGGACATTTTTACTTTCTGTATTCACCTCCGAATTTCGCAATTTTCAAAAAACGAGGAACATAAGATAGCAAAAGTTTAAAAACAGTCAAGAATGATTTGGATTCAGCATTATAGAAACCAAACAACCTGTGGTGAAAAGTCATCTTAAATTGTCGGTACAATAAGTAATTTCAAATAGCACACCTAAGACTGAACATAGTTTAGTTGTATGAATGTATAGTTTTATTGTTTTACTCAAAGCAATATTTGTACTTAGACCCCTTTGACTATCTCGCTCAAATTTATTTTGGGTTATGCATTTAGTTTATCTAACCACGAAACCGTTAGGGAATTTTGTCACATTCAAACACAGTTACTTTTCCAAATTACTAATGACCCGGACAGGTATACGTAATGGGGGGTGCCACGCACTAATAGCCTTGGTTTGAGTTGATCAGTTTCCTCGCCATTTGAGCTTTCTGTTCTGCGAACGAAAGCAACCGAATTACAGAGATTGTTCCAAATAACGGACTATTTTTGAGTGTGTGCTAGAACAGGGTGGCATGTCAAGTTTGTACAATGGACAACATTGTCAGGCTTTAAAATTGAGACATTTTGGTTATTAGATCTACAGAGTTTAACCCAAGATAGTAGTCTGATTTAGAAAGAACTATATTATTTTTTGATGTGTTTCATTGCACTCAGTAACTGGTAAAACGTCTTATTGTATGCGTAAAATGACCGGGATTCAACTGTCCATACCATATTTTGCTTTCAACTCTGATCATATTGATACGTAACCTTTATCCGTTGGTTGCAGTACGTGAACTTTGGTGAATTTGATGCTCTGGTTGATCTTCTGCTACACTGGCCAACCGTAGTTCGACAGAAGGATCGAAACGGACGTACATTGCTACACCATGCAGCCGCAAAAGGAAATTTGAGTATTGTCAAACTACTGGTTGCTAATAACGCGCGTAAGTGCAATTAACACAACCATTTCATGTTTACCTTATTATTATTCTACTCAATAATCCGGTTAACAAAATAAATTCGTCAGCAGTCGCGCTCAATTCTAATAAATATTTTTTGCATGGTGTAAGAAAAAGACAGCGATCACGCTTGTTTCTGTAAATCTCGCCTCAAGCAAAAACACTATTTATATCTCGGTATTTTGTAGAAAAACGATCACTACCCATTACAGCATTTAGAATAAACGCAACCTGGCGAAACATTGGTTTTTAGTCACTCCTTCTCAGGCCGTTTACAGATTACATGGGTAACATTAGAAAACAGATCACAGTTATACACATCAAGCATGGGTAAGAGTCTGTCATGGTCAACTGGCATTTGCCATTTGATTGGTTTAACCAAGTTACGACCTCAGGATGACTGAACGGCGGTCATACTCGAGCCTGATCGATCACGGGCCATGGAAGTTAGAGTGACTGAACAAAACGCTTTTGGACGCAGAGGTCAGGGGTCAACTTTTTTATCCCGATCGCCTCGGTTATTGCTAGAGTGCGCAGTTGAACACCCTTGCACTTGGTGTGGGAGACACGATAAACAACTTCGAAGGCGACGTCCGGATTTACTTGATGTCCGGTGTCGAATAAATGGCCTAGGATCGAGCTGTTTGTTGATCCAGTCTGTCTTAGCCTTAACCAATGGTCTTTGAACCGGATACATAGCTGTCGTGTCATTCGACCAACGTAAGATGCGTCATTAACAGATCGAATAATCTAGATTCAGCTCTAAGACCGGATGTCACTCGTCTTTCATCATACGCGAATTGATTAGGTTCATCATGCCATAACGAAATGATTTTGTCGAATAGACTGATTATCAGGAAAATATTGAGCTTTTTTGAGTCATTTGGGGGCACAAAAGACAGCTATGTACGCGAATTCCAATCATTTTCACAATATGACTCCTCATAGATTTCGACCGAAGATCGCTAACCCAGTAAAGTAAACAAAATGATTCGAACACAGTGGTCATGAGGGGCCACTCCACAAACTGGTGGTAACAGCGATTGATTATTGCTTTGAGGTCATTACTCTACGTCTAGCCAGTAGGACATTCACCGAAGTAAAACAAGGCCGGACCCAATCCCTGCACATCTGTTTGGAGATAATGTTCACCAACTAGTTTCAGCAATGGTTTGCGATTACATTGCGTCTGTTTATTCTCCACCGGTGCCCAATGCTTTAAAATGTCTGCTTTAGGCTAGTGACAATACCGCAATCACATTCACAGTCCGGTTGTTTGACACGCCGAAACCCAAGCTACCTCGCAGACCGATCGATTCTAACCGTGTGGAACTCTTCCTTCATTGGCATACGGAAATAGTTAGTGCCCGAGGATGAACCACCGGGAATGAGCCAACTTTTAATGCTGCTCATGGTATAGATGAAGTTGCTTTTCAAGCAAATATTTGAAAACATATTTGTTTAAGGAAAAACATGAATCGAAAGAAACCATACTGCTTCCTGTTGTAATGTATTGGCAGAATATGCAATTGAGTGAGTCCGACATTTTCCCGGATAAATTTGCCCCAGTCTTAAATAAAAAAGGAAAGAAACCCGTAGTATATTACATAGTAATTTGGTTTGATAAAGGAAAAATCTAACTAGCAATCATTATTTNTAGTATTTGAGAACACCGTGCGTCGTTTCCCTTTGATTACACTCTGTATCTTAGTAGAAAAATAGTTACGATTTTGCAAATCCATTCAAAAAGTTAAAGTTATTCGCCTCTGTCGTGAGACTGATGCATAAAACGTGGCATCTTTGATTCACAGGAGTCAGTGAAGTCGACGAGCAAGGAAATTTACCCATTCATTTGTCCGTTACTGAGAACCACGTGGAGGTAACCGAACTACTCCTTTCTTGCGGTTCGGATGGTTTGGTAGCTAACAATGATGGCCTTCAGCCGATTCATTTAGCAAGCGAGAGGAACAATACGAAGATTCTGGAGGTACGTAAATCATTTTTCTAGTGAAGATTATCGCGGAGATGTTTACTTTGGTTAGCTTTGCTTTATGTCGGTGTTTCATAAAAATCAGAATACAGGTATTGTGCATTTTGGAGAGGGTTGTTGTTGGTGGTGCTACTGGTGGTAATGATGATGCTGGTGGTAGTGGGAGATGAACTTTTGATTAATCAGGGTTGTTCCTTGTCGTTTTGCCCTCCATTTTAGTAGTCATTTTACAGCGAAGGAGTACAATAAATTTGGCTGAAGTTGAATGAATAATCGTTTTTGTATACAGTAGGTTTTGTAGACTATTTTACCAATAGTTTGCAAAGTCATCCAAAATATTGTTTCCTAATTATCTGCATTGCTTGATTAACTCAGTCATCATGAGACCATCGTTTTATGTAAATACTGTGTTGGAGGCAGAATACCAAAGCAATAGATCTGTCTTTTACTCTTACATCTAATAATTTGAAAATCACTCAAATTATCTGGGCGATGGTAGGCATGCTGAGGTTCATTTTACAACAATGCTTTTACTATATGGGCTGCACACATCGAAGAACATATTTATAGTGACCCAGATAGAATCAGTTGGGATGCTTTTCTCAAAGCAATATATATTACTTGACTATCCTTCAGCTATATGAAACCTGATTTGTTCCAGTTTTCTCAGTAGTAGGAACGCTTCACACTTGGAAGTTGTTATTTAACAAAGATGACCATGTCGAATGCGATAATGTCTCTTTGTTTACGAAGAAAGCTTTCACAATTTCTCAGGATTATTAACTTCACTGCAAACCGATTACATCAACTTTAGATTATATAGTATGAAACGATGCACTATACTTGAAGCAATTTCAACAGCAAACACTTAACGTTTCTCTATTCATCTTATTTTTCTAACCACATTTCTCTCTGAGTAAATTTTTGAAATAGATGAGAGCTGAATAATAGCAGTATCATGAACTCGAAAACTAATTTTTCTGATCGCAGCCGGTGCATCTTAAATCTTCCATGTTTCGGTTGAACACAGCATTCAAATTTATGAATATATGTGTATCCCCCTTGTTTCCATCAATGTGTACCAGCTTATCCTCGCACTGGATGAAGTTGATGTCAATGCGGAGGGAGAACGAGGTGCCACCCCCTTGCACTACTGCTGCATACGTGACAGCGTAGAATGTCTGGATGTACTGGTAAGCCGGACTTCGCTCCATCACTCCCCTAGAGTAACCGCAACCATGTATTTTTCGTATGCTTCGCGGGTAATTAAACTATTATATAGAAGACCATAACATAGAAGTTGACACATGTAAGGTAATTGATAGGCGGTCGTCTGTCACCCTGTTGCCTCAATTTTCTACTGCCTGTTTACCATTTCGGAGAAAACGAAAATCGGTTATTTATCAGTTTCAGAATCACCTGTATCGCTCACGTTTGCTTAATTTCATTACAACTGAATCATCGAAAAAAACTCTCCCAAGCTTTTTCGTATTCTTCAGTGTTTTTAATTTATGCAATCAATTACCATGCAGTTTCCTGCTTCGACTTTCATGACTATGTTTTGGCTGTCCATTTGGCTAAAATGGTAGAAGGAAGATTGAGATATACAAATCAGTGTCATGGTGGAAATACCTCTATCTTCACAAAGATATTGAGCGCCGCTTTTTATGACACTCAATCATGGTACTTATTGTCTCCAAACAACGCGTACAGTGATCCCAATATCCCCGTCCAGGAAGCCCAGCGCGACTTAAATGACCAAGTCTCCCAGTCAGGATTTTCATACCCTCGTGCTAGTACCTAATTCCGCCACTCTTTGTTTTATTCCCCAACCATCACCTATGCGGCAAACAACACGCGTCGCGGTGATCTATTTTGTGACGTGCATAACACACGCCATAACCTATGAATATTAACCATTTGCTACAGTGGGCGAATTCGGTTACCAAAAACCGTGTACCCAACCTCAGCGTTGCTTGTCCGGTTTCTCCAATCAGACTGGTCCGATGCAGCTTAAATGCAACAATCGCACAACTATAGAAAAATGAAACACTCATTTCCCAAGAAAAGCTTGCAAGGGGAGGGAAACAGAGTTGTCAGTGCACTCGCAATGTTAAAAGTATGACTTTTTCGGCCTTATCCTATTAGCGTACAACTGATGTAGCGTCTAACAGTATAGATTGCTGTAATGTACCCGTGGAAAAATAGTGCATTACACTTTAGCGTAAATCGTGCAAGCTGTTTTCCTCCCTGTTCACAGATACATTGTGGCAGCAATCAACAAATGCCTACAGAGTGTATGCGAAGCTGCTCACAATGAGATTATTGATTAAGGGCATTACGATTAGCAAGTAATTTTCTTGAATAATTACCAATGAGTGCGTTAAATAGAAATATCAGAATAATACTTCTTAGTTGGAGGGAAGTTCTTGAAACACAGAAAATGCAGAACTACTTATAATAAAGAGGATTATAGCAAATATTTTTTCATGAAATCATGGTTCTATGGAAGATGGATTCCTCACTTAGCACTAATCTATAAAGTATTTCTTTGAACCGGAATCTGACTAGGTCGAATGTTAAATGGTCTGTGGATTTGAAAATACCGAATCCAATACTGCGATTTCGGCGTTGTTATTGTGGTGGATGGAAGTTGAACCTGTTTATAACTGCCTAACTCGACCCTGCAATCAATCGATTGAAAAGCTATTTTCAGAAGTGTGTGTGTGTGTGTGTGTGAGTGAGTGAGTGAGTGAGTGAGTGAGTGAGTGAGTGAATGATCGTGTTAGTCACGTGAGATGACGAGTCGTACTAGTGTTGCGTCCGTTTGAGCAGTGTACGTTACGATTGAATGGCATCATGCCTATGCACAATATCTGCGTATACTTCGTAAAAATCACGCAACTTACGTTTTGTGCCTTTGGCTTTAAGTTAGATAAAAGGCATGAAGGTCACTTCAGCATCCATTTAATCAAAATCAGCAGCTATGTAGCTGACTGAGCATCCACACTTGAATTTCTAAATGCAGTTTGATTTTGCGAACAAGGGCAGTTATGCCCTCACCAAATGTCATTCATTATCTTCATCTTTTCACGGCAAAGTATACAGGTGAAAATTTGTGCACATGAGTAAGGAACGAGGATCATGGATATAGATTACATTTGCGTAATGTTATAATTCATGTGACTACTCACAAGTAGTCAGATACATAATGCGATTATACTAATGTTACTTTGTCAGCCATGCAAAGCCAATACCTTATCGCAAGAACTTGATGATTCCAGGCTCCTTCTCAAAGATTATAAACTAGCCTTTTAATCTGCAATAGTTTCCTCATTACCAGTGGATTACCGCCAAATGACTTCATTCTCCTAGTTGCGTCCCCTCATGTAAGAGGTTCAAGTTATTCAGCACCTGCAAACCGATTTCTTGAAATGTGCATCAATGTCTACCAGTGTGCTCCCGAGGAGCAAACTTATACTCTTACCAGCCCGTGCTCTTTATCGGTAGTCGTATTAACTAAGATTTTCTGTAGAACTGAGATTGATTCATCATGTATTTCTCTTGCCACTGACTTCATATTGCTGTTATAAATTCTGTATAATCATAAACTCATGCACACGTTTTACGGTTTCAAAGATATCAGTTGGTCGATTAGTAATCACTCGGGGGTTCAACAAAGTCACTATCTGACTAAACTTGATTGATTCAAGTCAGATAGAAGAAATGTTGAGGAATTCGAAATGCATATTTTTGAAGTGACTCCAGTGTATGAAATGACGAATCCTGCATATCTATTACTGTATGCATATTGGCAGTTGGAATAAAAACAGGAACTAATGAACGACTAATGGTGAAGAGAATTTAACAGTTATCAAACTGGGTTTGAATGCTTCCTGTTAAAGGAAAAGACTAAGCGAACTAATTTAGTATTCTTTAAATAAGCCATTTTTTTATTCCGATGCACGGTGAAAGGAATAACGGGGAAGGTTGNTATATCACAAAGTATTCTGTCATTTGAGCAACCCTGTGTACCATTTTACAGTTCGGAGCCGTATAATATGCTGCTCCTGAACTGAAATATTCCTTACCTTAAGGGCCTTTTCGATTTCACACAGTGTTAATTGTAATATAAGTAAAACCGATGGGAAGCGACTATCGAAGGAGAAGATTTATTTGCTGGATTCGATCTTACAACGTTTTTGTTGCAATTTCAGTGAAATAAAAAAGAAATAAAAATTATTCACCGTGGTTAATCGGATTATAATATAAGAGCGTGAATAATAACCAGTTCAAATAGGGTTGTGGTAGTATAGCTTCCCGTTCTATTATGACGAAAACTTATAAATGAGGTAAATTAAAGCAAGATAGTTGGATCGATTTCGTAGTAAACTGTGAAAGTCTTCTCTATTTGCCTCTTGATACAAATGATATTTACGGTGCAGTGAAGAATATATTTCTATCGGAATTCCAAACACTGCTAATTTCAGTTGCAACACGGTGCCAACATTTATCTGCGCGACTTGGAAAAAACATATCCAATACACACGGCCATTGCGAACATCAGCCACAAATGCGTGAAAGCTCTGTTTGAACATGAGGAAAAATATTACGGGTCCAGATTGCAAAGGAATTCCCTTTCCAGTGTCCTCAATGTTCCCGGTGCTTTGTCATCAACGANCGCATCACGTCGTAGCAGCATGGAAGTGATCTCGCGAATTCTCGGTGTGGAATCAGGACGACGGTTTTCTAAAGCGGAAAAGAGACTGTCACATCTTGCACGAACTTTGAGACGTTTCAGTCAGCAAAATATGACCGGTGATGAGTGTCTTATTGAGTTGACTGACTGTGAAGGAGAAACGCCGCTACATGCAGCAGTGACTTCCGGGAACGCCGAAATGGTTAAGGTAGATTTTGGTTTTTGTTGTTGGCTTCAACCAAAGGCATATAAATTAATTATTTTTCATACAAGCAGAATGTTGATTTCTGTCTACTCTAGTTTAGGAATGGTCACAATTTCTGTCAAGTTCACCCTGTCAAGTGAAATATCACATCGAAAGCCATGGGGGTAGATTGTTTGGGGATTTCTGCTCTGTTTCACACAGTTACTTGTTCATAGTGATGTGAAATAATTAGTGGTGATTGGGAGTAACCATCATTCAGACTCCGAACGTACATTTGGGAAGCATTAGCTTTCATTTTTCCTTTCCAACGAGCTCACCGTCCCTTATTGGCTTCACACTCCAAAACCATCGCATGGAAGCCATACATTCAGGGTAGCTACTGTGCCAACCAGCTCACACCTGGTTTAACCAGAATTGTAACTTCATGCTTTTCACATCGATGGGCAAACGGTGCACTTTTCGACCGACAGTACTGAAGGGAGGCAGATTTGATCATCTTTTAACTTCAGTCGAAAGCTCCCCACCAATCAGACCAACCATGCCACCTTGGGCTAACTTGCCACAAACCTAGTGAACTGGAGTTTCTGTTTACGTTCGCCTTACAACTACTTGCGATTTGTGGTGAAAATGAGCTCTAGTAAAAGCAAAACTGCAGTTTAGAGCTGCCTGAATGTAGGTTTGACTGGATGCGTCAAGTTACATATGTTTAATGCACCCAAGTCCAGAGAGCACAATAATAGCTCACATAGTGATAAATGTCGGAAAATTCGATAAATGATGGCTTTAAGAAATCCGTCCACACGGCAGTTTTCATAAATGTTCAGTAACTTTCCACTGATAAGTTAATGCTTCCCTGTTAGTGATATCCAGATTTAGGTGTTCACTTCTTCAATCCAGGGCAATGGCCAACTGACCACTCTATTGCTTCTGTTATTACAAGCATCCCACCGACATCAATAATATATATACTTGTATTGATCTTGCTTGACCAAATATGACAATCGCTCGCTAAATGTAGTGAACATTACCACCCTGACAATCCACCGAAAACTGACTGAACAGACAACTTCAATCCTCATTCATTTAAACTTTCGCACGACTTAAGATGACAAAAACAACGTTCGGATTCAGTGATAACATTGCGCTAATCGTACTTTTCATCACTGAACACACCATACTTCAATTCGCATATATTCGTCTCCACTCTGCAAAGATACTAGTTTATCCTTTACCTGCAAGACCTTTATTACGTCCTCCCTTTTAGATATGCCTCGAAAAGAATGCCAAAATTCTAGCCAGACAACATGACGGTTCCACCCCCGTACACTACGCTTGCATCAAAGATGATCTGGAATGTGTACAGATGATGTTTGATGCCAAACCGGATTTGAAGCCTTTGGTCCTGAAAATGGCAAATAAGAATGGATACACCCCACTGCACTTGGCTGCCGCATACAATCATGAAAAGTTGCTTCTGTATTTAGTTGAACAAGTAAGCACGAGCCGAATGTCAAATCCTCATTTTTTTCCGTGGTGAATCAAGGATACCGATACTATCACTCTGTAATCCGTCAACAATGAATTCTTGCTCGATATTCATTCGCCATCCTACTCAATTAAAACCTCCTGATGTAATCCACCACAGTGGTTTGTTCTAAAATCTTTAGGGAATGTTTTAGATTACTGATAATTTCCTATACT